AAATGTCCTTCCTTAGCCAATATATTCATTCGATCCTTCCCTATGTGACCTAATCTTGCATGCCATGTAATAACATCAACATCATTGTTGCTAGAATAATATTCCATAACACAACGGTCAACATAATAGTTGTACGTAGAAGGATTACAATCTAACACAATAAAACCATCATAACGATGTCCAAAACCATAAAAGACATTGTCTTTAGTAACTCTAAGACCATTGCGACTAAAGTTCAAATTGAAATCTAAATCTAGAAGAACAGACACAAAGACTAAATTTCATCGAATCTCTGGAACATACAGGACGTCATGCAACATCAAAGATCAGCCACCACGCATGTCCATTCTGCAAGTGCCTATCCCTTTGACTTCAAGCTTTGCATTATTTCCCATATATACATGCTTTGATCCAGGTGGAACTCGATGAAACTCTATAAACGCTTCTCTATCGCGGCTCACATGGTCGGTGGCCCTTGAGTCTACAATCCACATAGGATAAGATTCAGTTAGTAAAACAGTGCTAGAAACATATATAGCACTAAGAGATGCATTTTGAAATGCTACCTTTTTCGGCTCAGTGCACTCACGAGCAAAATGCCCTGGGACTTGGCAATTGTAGCACTTCATCTTGCTCTTGTCTTTCTTCTTATAGAACCGTTTTCCTTTCTTGGAATTTGGCTTGTTTCTTTTCTTGGAGGGTCCTTCTCCGGACTCCTTACTCTTTCCGTCATTTTTCCAGTTTCTCTTACGCTTGAAGCTTAATCTCTTTGTACCACTTGATTCTGCCACAAAGGCATTAGGTACAGCTTTAGCAGCACCAAGCCACTCATCTTTAAGCTCCACATGATGGGCAACATCAGCAAAAGTTTTGATGCTATCATTTTGGGTCAAGTTAACTTTCAGATGTTCCCAATTATTGGGAAGAGACCGAATCACTACCTGAACTTGTTGCTCATCAGAGAGTACATGGTCAGCACTTTTGAGTTGAGCAATCATATTTGACATCGCCTTGAGATGTTGCTTGACACCGTGATCATGACGCTTTTTGTACGTGTCAAACTTGATTGTCAGTTGTCGAAGGCGAGTCACAGTTGTACCCCCATATGCCTCTCTTAAATGTACCCACATGGCTTGAGCAGTAGGATATTGCTCACATTTGTGGATGAGATCATCAGCAACTGAACTTACAATAATTCCACGTGCAGTGGAATCCTTCTTTTTCCAAACATTGTAAGTTTCCAGATCCCTCCTGTGTTGGGCAGTGTTACCCTCCTCTGGGTGACTCATAACATGGTTAATACTTTCAAGAGCATCTTGCTCTTCGAGTACATACCACATCTTACGACTCCAGATGTCGTAATTTTCACCATTCAATTTGTCACCCTTGTTCAAGTCAGCAATGATACTTTTCGTTGTCATGTCTATTATTAGAGATAATATTACAAGTTTAACTCATCAATATATACTTCAGTCAATTTATGCATGTGATTACACACTTAAGTAAATTAATTATAGTATTAATTCTATATTTAGTATAGAATCGAACGGTCACTACGTTTCCATTCATCATCTATTTCTAAATATTTTAATTAATATTAAAATCACTTCTTAGTGTGTACTTTATTTCAAGTCTCAATCCATTACACAAAAGAAAATGATAAACAATATATGTAACTGGTGAGACAAATAACACAATTTAAATTTCATTAAGATAAAACACATAATAATAATTTACATGTTTGCTAGGACATACATGTACCAATCGAACACTAACTCTTGCTCATATACGCTAAAAGGTGCACTAGGCCAAACATCATGATAAATCTCAGTTAAAATTTCACCCCAAGGCTCTCGAAGAGAGTTCGCTAAAATAGCTAATGCTTCCCAATCAGTAATTTCTATGTAATTAGCCAATTCAGCTCTTTTTATCCTAAAAAGGTGTACATGTTCAGGAACGGAAATATCAGGGCCCATTTTAAATTCTTAAACTCCCTAAATTTCTTTTCTCTTTTCCTTCGTTCAGCCCTTCGATCCCTTAACTTATTTTGTCTCGCCCTTGGGACATTCCTGATGACTTCAGGCTCCGAGTCTGAATCATTATAGAAATAAGTCCTGCAGCGACGTACCCTTCTACGTTATCCCCTTCCTTGACTTCGACAACTCTCACTTGAAGTAATTCGAACTTGTCCATATTCAGCCATATCTGAAATTGGACTAAGAAAACAATAAGAATGGCTACAACCACTCAATGTGACAACATATGTCGCAGTAACTCGTAGAAGTATATCAATATAACGGATAAGGGATAGACTAATTTTCTACTTTAAGTAGACAGTGAGTTCAATTAAGTCCAAATCTCTAGCAAACACATGATCAAAGTCATGAACAACATGCAATTCTTAAAGTAGTCTGTCTACTTAAAGCAATAACCTGTAGGAGTGTTTATGTCAACAACATGCAATTCTTTGTCTTAAAATAATAAGAAAAGCAAAGAGGGACATGACAAAAAAAAAATATTGACTAGTCAAATCCCAAAGTCCATAGAAGTGAATTAGCTTCTCTGCAATTTTAAATACCCTTTGACGTGGGCAAAAGAATTGAAAAAAATATGCCCTACTTCAAACAATACCATACAAATACTCCCAGAAACAAAGTTGTATGAAACAGGGATAACCAAGATAAGAAAAAATATCTGTCTCTTATTTGAATAAAGGTATCCTAGTCAATTTATTTAAATAGATAATTAAATAGTAACATGGTATATGTAACCAACAGTGATAATTTTTAAAGGTTCATTAATTCCTCTTATTAAATCCAAGAGCAAAAGTTTCATAATCTGCTCTTGTTTTAGCGATAGGAAGACGTAAATCTTCCAACCAATTCGTAAGTGCTTGTTTTAACTCAAGTCATGAATTAATACTTGGAAAACAACTACTTCTATCTTATTTTGAATTGACAGTTAGAAACCAATTCCAACTGTACAATTAAAAAGAAGTTCTTTCAATTTTATGTTCTCTCAATTTTATTTCCAGAATAAAAGTCTTATTAAAGTAGGACACACCATTGATCCTCTTCACGGATTGTGTAAAGCAATGTCGGTTTACGCCCAAATTGCAACCACATATACAAAAATTCACTCCTTCAAATCTTGAACTCTCTTTCAACAAGAAAAGTGATACCGACTACTATTTCAAAGTTTTATTCTTTTCACAATCTATCAATGTGCAAAACAAAGAGAAATCGCAACGAACAGTATATTAAAGATACTTCTCACACGGTATTTTACATTGAAACATCAACAACTACATGCATACAACGCAGGCTCTGATACCATTGTTAGTCTAATAATCACGGAGCGAGAACAACATTAGCGTACCTGTCAACGCAGCGGAAGAATTGTTGAACTCACCACCAAAAGAATTGCCCCAAGTCGAACTTTGAATCTCTTGGAAACAAAGTTTATTTCACAAACTAAAGCCTTCCTTCTTTGTACGTGTGTTTTGTTGGGAGAAGAAGAGAAAGTTTTTCATTCTTGAGAGTTCTTCTGTATGACAGATATATAGAAGAGGAATAGAGGAAAAACTACCGATGAAAACCACCACCCCACGTTCTCACATCTCTCAAATAACGTACGGTAGTTTTTTACGAGTGATAAAACCTCTTAGTAACCTCCTTAAGTTAAATCTCTTTTAAAATGGGCCGGGTCAGTCCACATGGGCGACCCACGACCCAAACCTAATATCCAACATATGTCATATACAAAAATAATACAAATTTTATACACTTTTTTGGCTACCGAATTAAATAGTTTGGGCGTGCTAAAAGTGAAAAAAAGCCCTTATTTTTCTTGGATATTAAAAAAGAAGTAAGAAAACAACTTTTGGGCTCTTATGCTTTTACAACTTGTACCTTTAATGTAAACATTTAAGGTAGTAACACGTGCTTTGAAGTTAGCATTCAATCTAATCACATTCTTATGTATGCTAATTAGTAACAAATATCTTGTCTTACTGTATATATAGAGTCCGTTTGGATTAGTAGATTGTAAACGGTTGATAAGCCTGAAGTTCTAAAAAATAATTTTAAGTACTGAAACTGATTTTTTAATAAGCATTTACGTATTTGGATAGAAGTGCTGAAACTGATAATAAGCACTTCTATCCAAACAATTGATGTGTCTGATAAAAAAGTGATGATAAGTTGTTCTTTTATTAAAAAGACTAAAATACCCTTTAAAACTTTACAAAAGATTATAAATTAAAAAGTTTCTTTGTAACAAAAAGGATGAACAACGAATATAGAATGAAGAGAAAGTTAGAAAAAGTATTTTGGAAAAAGTATTTTATGAATTACAAAATATTATTAAGGACAAACTAGTAAAAGTCTTGGTGAAACTAAAAGTTCTTATAAGCTGAAAAGTCATAAGTTAAGGGTGACCAACTTATGACTTATGACTGATTTTAGCTTATAAGTACTTTGCCCATTTACCAAACTCGTAAATAAGCCAAAAAATGCTAATAAGCCAGTTTGATCCACTAATATAAACTTAGCCAAACACCCTCATAGTTGTAACAAATTGTTAGTTTATTGAAGTCGCACAGTTCGCGTTATAATGCTAGTAGTTAATATCTTGTGTACTAATGTAGATCACATGGCTATGATCAACAAATTTAATGTAGATCAATTATTTATATTATAAATTTTTAATTTCACAATTCCATTATCAATGGTATATTCATATCATAATGAATAGTAAGAATTAGCATTCTTATTGAAACTTTAATTCAGACGGAAGAAAACCAATTTATAGAGAAATGAAACATTGGGTCAAACTCTTTTTTGCTGTCAAGGTAATAGATATGAATAGTCATTGACCGGAAAAGAGTAGAACAATGAGACCTGCAACCTATATAAAACTTCTAATACTTATCATTTTAGTTGTGTACAATACTGAAATGAGATAAGTTTAAATGGAGAATGATCCGCAAGAAGCCATAGTGGATACAGGAGCATTGAATTATCATAAAATGACAGCAACCAAAGATGAAGGAAAATACACTTAGCCATAGAAGAAAATTGTCAATACCATACATGAAATTTCTGTTCTCCCCTAAACATCAACTCTCCACATGGCAACATTTGTACAATCGCGTTGATATAAACTACCTCGCCGGTCTTATATTTTTTACACCCTCCGGAGACTTGACTTCCTCTGCACAGCCATCTCGAATATTTGACATCTGAGCTTCAGCATACCTGATTTTATGTTTTAACTACACAATTTACAGTTCTCTAGCACATGTAACAACTTTATTTGCAATTTACTCCATACCTTAGAAGACATGTATGGAGCTAAAACACTAGATGTGGAAGAAAAGGAAGATAGGTAGCTCAAACTAAGCCTCAGTTAGCTGTACAACTTTCTTTCCTAAAAGACTAAGCCGGACTTGGGGACTGAGCAGCAATTCTTCTTTCTGCAAAACAGCATAACGAAATCATTTAATATCCAGTTGAAACTGATTAAAAAAGCGTATTTGAAGTTGAATAACCAATGCATTGAATGCTCCAGACAAATGCAAACAGGAAACTGCTTACCCCCAGCAGCAACTAGCTTTTCAACACGCGCGACAATATGCTTTCCGTAAGTGTATTTCTTCAGAGCATTCAAGTGAACTCTTATCCTCGACATGATCAGCTCACGTTGCTGATCGCTACAAGTTTCCAAAACTTTCTGTACAACGTAATTTGCAAACTGATCTTTCATCATAGCCTGGACAAAAAGAAGAAAAATGAGGAAACAAAATGCAAACTTTGAAACCAAACCTTCTCACACTTTAACTCTACTGGGAAATGAGAGCATGAGAAACAAGATTGTAAGAGTTTATATGGTGCACTAAATGCCACCACTATCAAAATCAAAATCACCTATCTATGTGGCTCAGTGGCTGTACTCCCAAGATGAACTCTATCCCCATGGATGCACAAATTAAAACACAAATATTACTAAGGGCAGAATTTCATGATTAAATAGCTTAACATAGACAACGCAGGGTTGAATATCATAGAAAGCTAATTAATGAAATTTGAGGAAATCCTTTTGGCATACACTTGGGTAAAATTTGTCCAGCAAAAATCTTGAGCCTCTAACTAAACGTATCAAATAATAAGTAGGTAGCGCTGTTTTCAGGCTACAATGGAGCTTGAAATGGTACAATTAATTCATTTTTTTATATTAGCAGCAGAAATGTTTTACCCAAAAGCTTTCAAGAAAAGATTTCTTCTTAGCTAACCGACATGAAGTTGTAGGTGGCTCATCCTCAAAACATTCCGTATTTGGGATACTTAATGTGGGTCAAATATAAAGTGAGATCATTGAAAATGGGCAGAACCGTAGAAGGTGGGGAGAAAGGAAGTTCCCAACATAGAAACTCATCTATCAACCAACTCCGCCATAATCCCAAGTCAGTCGAGGTAGTGCATAAGAGTCCTGTATCCATCACAAGCTCACAGTAATTCTTCAAATGTTCCAAGGCATCTCTTACTCTTGTTTTTCCAAGACAACAGTCTCAGCATCCAAAGTCTAGTGTTACAGGGTCACATCGCATATGAATTATATCTAATTAAAGGGGGGAGGAACAGGCCAGAATGTCCCAAAGCACGAGCATAATATGAATGTCAGAAAATCCAGTGGTTCTCTGCTGCCAATATGTGATTTGCTTGGAAATGGTGAATAATTAAACACATTGATATGCGACATCACCATGCATCTTTGTTCTCACATCCTTTCAAATATGTCAAGGGGAAGTCCAATAGAGAGGTTTAGATGTCATAGCTGGTGCGCTGACACGTATCATTCTTGCGATCTAGTTTGATTTAATTGAAGACTCCATAATTTCGGTTTGACATAAAGCACAGTTGCTTTAGAGGGTCTAATGACTTAAATTCAGAGGCAGGAAACCTGACTTACAGATGAAGCACGCTTGACGAATGACCGTTCAATGACCTCATCTTCCAAACACTTCTTGCTTTTCAAAAGTATGTGCCACACAATATCAGATATCAGCTATGACCATACCATCCAGGTTAACTATTAAGTCTCTTTTCTTCCAACTTCAACATTTAAAGTGACTCATAGCCTATCCAAACTTAGTCCTAATGATCTCACAGCTGTCTTAGTGATTAATCCTGAGAGGTCGCCAAGCTCTATTTACAAGGGGGAAGGAAGGAAGGAAGAAGGCAATGCTATGCTTCTCAACAGATACAGGTGAGCCAAGCAGAGGCAATGTCCTGACAAGGGACCCATCAAAAGATAATAATCATAATTTCATAAATTTTGTAGGTTTAATCATCCTATTCTGATGCTCCAAAATATCCTGACTCATGCCCGCTAAGCAAGAGTTGGCCATTTTGGCGAACCATACAAGAGGTTAAAATTAAATCTCAGCGAATGCACAAACTACATTGTTTCCATGCTATTAGGTGTATAAAAAAGATCCCTTTTTGTTTAAGATAAAGTAAAGTAGCAGGAGTAACAAATATTATGAACCCAATAACCATATCGAAATCAACACCCTGCTTAACCCAAGGCTAAAGTTTAGACAAACCTGAAGAGGCTCATTTTCATCAGTCGTACCAAGCATCTCATTCACCAGTAGCTGTCGTTCACTAGAATTACAAAAAGTTAAACACTTCTCAACAACATTAGAGGCGAACTTCTGCTGGCTCATTTGCACAATCTTCCCAGCTAGTTCCTGAATTATAATAGAGCGCTCATGCGGCTTCCCGTGCTCCAATACATGCTGCAAGTGTTGCATTTAAAACAACAAATGGAAGAAAAAGGAAAACAAGGTCGAATTATACCTCAGTATAGGAATGAAAGACATGTTTGCTAATATAGCAAAGTCTTGTTAGCACAAAGAAAAGTTTAATTGACCAAAGGAGCTTCTTCAATCACTACTGCTTTAGCAAACAAAATGGAAGGCAGCAACAAAGGAAGGTTTTTGCTGTATCAAAGAGGGTAATACCATTGCTTAATAAACTTTTTTCCAGCCAGAACATGTACTAGGTTCCCCATTTAGCATCATGTTAAGGGCAGTAGCATACATTGGCAGCACTAGAGAACCAGGTGAATGTGCATGCAGTTTGAAAGTTGATTGAATTTTTTTTGCAAATACTGTCTCAATTTTTGGTCTCTCTTTTTTTTCTTTTTTTTTGGGGGGGGAATATACTTTTAGTTCTCCAAAGAAGTTGAAATTTTGAAGGAAAAAGAAAAGAACACTTTGCAAACAAACAAAACACGCAAATTGAAAAAAATAATAGCAAAAGATTTCACTTCTCCAACCAAATGCCTTTATAATAAAATCAATGACCTCATTTTGGAATTTACAGTGACACAAAAATGTTTTCCTAGTACATCATAAAAAGCAAGACAGAGCCATCAAATAATGAAATGAAATGCGCAATATTACCATAATTCGAAAATAAGCAAAACATGTGCCCATATCAACAACAAATTCAGGAATCGTCAACTTAGATACATTTTACGAATTGCTCCACACTAGTCAAGAATACAACATGATAAAACGAACTACTAACTCATGAAAAAGAAAATGGAAATAGTTACTTCAAAATAAGACAGTCACAACCAGTATATAGATAGTGAGTATTCCATACCTGAACAACATAATTACCATACTGATCTTGTGCCAACATGCTAACAGATCCCAAGATTTCTTCCATCACTTTATTTTGGGTTTCTGGATCGCTACAGTGTTCCAATACTCTCTGACAGATGAAGGAATATTACTAAATACCAAACTGAAATTACCAACCCAAATGGATAAGACACATTACTCATCTACCTGTATTACTCGACAGCCATATGGATGGGTGGAGAGAGTAACAACTTGTCCGAAAAATGTCAAGATGACAAATTGAATGTGATCTTCTGGTACACATTCAATACATTTCTGAATGACATGATTTCCATTCTGATCTCGTACACAGCGCATGATATTACCATCAAGCTCCTCAACCATTTTGATCTTCTGGTCCACGTCGAATACTTCTATTGCCTGTATAGTGAACCAAACATTTTACCACAATTTTCAACTCAACATAACTCAAATATTGAGAAGGGAGCCCACTGGTTGGTGCTATATTTAGTGTATCAGAATAAGAACCAAAGCAAAAGATTGCATGAGCATTATTTTTCTTTTTTTGATGAAGCAAGTGTGAATGCGCATTTCTAGATTCAATTTGGTGTACCTTCTGTATGACGCGACAACCATACATTTGAAGGCTCAGTGTTAAAACGTGCCCAAAGAGCTTGCCAGCTAATTCTCTCCTCTGAGATGCCATTCCATGTTCAAAAAACTGCAAGAGAAATATGGAAATTACAATCCAATTAAAGAGAAACAGGAGATTGGAAGATCATGCACCTCAAGTACAATCTATACTCCATAGAATTACACATACCTTCTGGATTACGTAATTTCCAAAGACATCAGTCATCAAAGTAAGAGCTTGGGGGAAAATTTCCTGAAACACCATGTTTTTCTCCTCAGTGGTGGCAGTTTCCAGCTTTTGCTGAATGAATCGGCTCCCATACTGGTCGGCGCTGATCATAGATGATATATAAGTATTAGAATCGGGGCTAGTTCAAGTAGAAAAAAAAACACATAAGAGCAAGTTTACCTAAACTCAACAACGTGGCCGGCAATTTCTGAAAGTTCAAAACACCTGGTCTTGTTGCTTTTGAACTCTTCCAGTAAGGAGGATGCTAAGCTGTTTTCCATATTATCCAAGTGATATGGTCCTATGACACCTGCAGCTATGTTTCTCATTCGTCTCATATTATTATAATCACTATGCCTCATAGGACTACCAGGTCCCACTGGAGAGCCTGGGATGACAGGACTTGCTAAAGGACTTCCAGGATATGACAAGCCAACTCCAAACGCAGGATTTCCATAATAGCCATGATGACCTGAACCACCGCTTTTGTATTGAGATTTCTGAGGTAGAACATTATTACCAAGATAAGCTTTCTGAAGCAAGTCCACATACGAATTGCCGCCCATGTAGCTCCTGTCCAAGGAAGGATCATTAAGAGCAGCAACCTGCGCAACATATTCAGCTGTCAAGTACTGAAGATACATAGGGTCCACGAATGACGGCCCACCCATTTGATTTCCCATTCTGCTGAGATTATGCTCTGAGGTTGCAGCACTCAAATTAGGGATTCGAGAGTCCAATCCAGGTACAGCCATAGCTGATGCAGCAGCAGCATTTCCAAATAAAGGTGGCAAATTATAGTTGCCAAGATGGCTTGACATTGGACTGAGAGGATGACCACTTAAACCATAATTAGAAAAAGATGAATTTGGACTATCCAAATGTGGATATTGAGAAAGCACGCCACCTCCACTATTCAATCCAGATGTTGGGGATCCTTTGAGGTATGAACTATTGGAGAAAGCAGCTTGGCGGTTAGAACTATTAAGGTCTGAGCCGACAGAATATGGTACTTTTGCAGACTGAACAGTAGAAGCCATATTAAACTGTGGGGATTCAGATTGCTTCAAAAATTCATGCTGCTTCGTGTTATTCTGCCCACCTGCAAGATTGGTGAGGATAGTATTAAAACCAATGTCCTGTTCAATCTGAGAAATGATCTCATCCGACGTACCATTAGATAGATTCATGCCAGACAAAGCAGCAACAAGCTCTGAAGACTCAGTTGTGTGACCATTAAATGAATTTGGACTATTAACACTTCTCTTGTCTAAATTGACTACCCTCCCTCCACCAATAGGAGTAAGGCAAGGACTAGGAGCCCTCACAATGTGTTGGGGATCAGGAGTGGTACTTCTTGATAAAGCAGCAGCATATGAATAGGAAGCAGCCACCTCATCAGATTGGATTTGTGTGCTTGATGCAGACCTTAAAGGCTTTGAAGAAGAAAACGAAAGCTCAGCTTCTGCTGCATCACCACTTCCGTCAAAAGCATTTCGGCTAGCTGGCCGCGAAGGGTGACCAGGAGCAGGAGACACACGGCTGAAGTCATCCTGGATTAGACATGGTTTAAAACCCATCAGATGACCATGTTAAACTCTCTTTCTCACAGATTAAACGTAAAAAAAGTTACTCCTAAGACAAAATAATACTCCCTCCATTTCAATTTATGCGTCTTAGTTTGAGTGTGCACGGAGTTTAAAAAAAGTACAGAAACTTTTGAAACTTGTGGTCTTAAACTAAAGATGCGTATAATGTTACCAAAATGCCCTTGAATCTTGTGTTCTTACTAAATATAGAAAGAAGCATTCTTTTTGAAACGGTCTACAAAGGAAAGTAAGACGCATAAATTAAAACAAAAGGAGTAACAAATGAAGTGAAAAAAAAAAAGGGAGTAACAAATATCGGCCGCTTATTTTATAATTGGAAGGAAAAATTAACACTACAAAAAAAATATTATGTAAGGTGTCTATTTATTGAAACTCAAAAATGTGGAAATCCAAAATTAGAAAAGGTAAAAGAAATGCCCTTAGCAACATAACAACAGTAAATGAATCAGATGCCATGCAGTAAACAGATGTCTTGATCCATTTCATCTAAGATTATACATTGTTAGGTTCGCAAATTATTCAAAACTACCCTTTATAGAGTACAGAAACTCCGCTGAGCTGCAAAACCAGTTAGATATAACATGAAAAGAGAAATTATAGATCACACTATAGGGGATGGGAGAAGGATGGAGAACATCCGCCCAACCAGAAATTTGAAGTGAAGGTAGGACTGGGAGTCCGGACATGGGTGAATATACCCAAAAGGGAAAGAAACATTGGACTCCTCAGCTAGTAATGTTTAGACGAACACAATGAATCAACGATAGAGCTGTTTATGACTTTCTTTAAGGGGAACACACTATAAACAAATATATATTCGCAACATAAGAAATTTCTATTTTTTCCCTAGTATAGCAATTTCAGTATCTTACATTGCCTATGAACTTACTGCATTATTCAAGTATGGATATGGGTGGTCAGATTCAGCTAAAAACAATTCAAATATCTCAAGGTAGAGTAATAAAAATATATCTAAATTATGAGACATTATTTGGAAAACTTACAAGGTGTTCCAACGAGGAGAAAATATTGATTAAGAGAACCCGAGAAGGAGATAAAAGAAAAAGGACTAACATAGAAATTTCTTATATACAAGGTATTCCATTTCTTCAATTTCACCCTAGCTTTTATTTTGATTTCAAAAATCATTGTATCTTTCCCGAATTTCTCCATCGATTTTGGTCAAAGTACCCAAAATTGGTTGACCATATCAGGTAGGGATCCCACACCCACACCCACGTTGCGTCGACACGGGTGCAGCACCGAAAGTGAAGAGTCCAAGCAACTTAGATTGTCACAATATTTTGTTTTTATCATGTGATCGCATAAACCATTCTCATATATGGAACAAAAAATGCTTATTTATGTCATATATGTCCAGATGGATTGTCAATATAAAAAGTTTGAGATAGAAAGGAATAAATAAATAGAGAGAAATTAAATTCAAATTTTAAAGGTGCCCCTTTAATCATAATGCTAAAGTGTTGGCCTCGGAGATGCAGAACTGCCTCAGATCTCATCAGCTTAGCAGAGATTATTGAGCAAAATGGAGTTACGTGTCTAACAACCCATCATGTAAACAAAACGGTTTAATGGGAAGATGAATCGACTATCACCTAGCATTCATGCCACAACAATAAAATATTTCCACAATTCAAAAATGCCAAATCCAGCCAAAACACCTCAAGGAAACTTGTTGAACTTTTTTCCTTCTACACCAAACATACCATTTGGGCAGTAACATAAATGAGCTTAATTCATGAAGCATTAAATACCAATTGTTAATTGCGCCGCTTTCAAAAGCATTTAATACCAGAATCTTGGAATCTATCATCCAATAGTCATTGTTGAAATTGTAATAAATAAATAAAACACTAGATAAAGTTTGAAGCATGCACCTGGAATATTTCAGCAATGCTCTTCTTTTTACTACCTAGTCCTACTCCCGGCAAACCAATCAGACCATCACCACCCCATTCCACCGAACCCTGCAATTTATCCGTCTCATTCTCGCTCTCTGCTTTTTTCAAGTTAAATCCTGGAGGCATGGGTGACCTCCTACCATTACCATTATTATCATTCTTGTTTACGTTCCTCCTATCACCAATAGCGGAGCTCCCTCCTTGCAACCTCTGCGAAAACCGCCAATCTTCTTTGGACAAAAGTGGTGGAGGCAACCTAGGATTAAGATTTACGTTCGAGTAATAGTAAGATAAATAAGCAGGATCAGACCTAAGCTCCTCCTCAGACATGAAACCATTATTGTTAAACAATCCACCTACTGCACTCAATGAACCCTCAACAGTAGGTGGAGCTGAGCCACTTCTATACATATTCAGCTCCTTTTCGCGATCATCAGCGTCTTGTCTTCGCTGATCGTGAAGTAACATCCCAATCTCTTTCTCAAACTCATCTCCAAATGAATTTTCATTGTTCCCAATCATCGGTCTCCTACCCAATTCAGATACCATCTTCACTCACTCATTCCACAACAAATATAATCAATACCCACAAGCCTTAACAACCCAAGAAAGCTATTCAAAATCAAAACTTTGTCATATATATAAACCTTAAAAACTACAAAACCCCACGTGCACAACCTCAAAATCAAACCTTTAAGCTCATAAAAACCCAATCTTTGATCAAATAAAATAGTAGCAAGAAAACTCCATGATCAAACACCAATTATATACTCGATTCTACAACAAATATAATCAGTACCCACAAAACCTAGCAACCAAAGAAAGGTAACAGAGGCAAAACTTTATCATATAAACCTTAAAACTACAAAAACCTGCATGTATAAGCTGAAAACTGAAGCTTTGGTGTTGATAAAAATCCCATCTTTGACTAATTAAACTCCAAGAAAGTTCATTTTTCTCAACATAGAGCAGGTAAAGAAAACTGTTAGCTAATAAGAGAGGTGATGAAGGTTAAATGGGAGACAGGAGAATAAAAAATCTGGCGGCGAATCAATCCCTTTTAGGGTTTTGTTTTTTGAAGTAAGTATTAGGTAAGAAATGATTAAATGCGAAAAAAATAAAAGAGTTTTATTCCGTAGGTGTTTATATGAGCATAAAAGAGGAAAATATTCTTTAGCCTATGTTTTGAGAGCTGTACCTACTAAAACAAAGTCAATTACTTAAAAGAGTTTTAAGATGATTCGAAAATATTTATACAATTATGCCATCTAAAGATAATTTTAAATAAAATTTATGATCAAATAATAACCAGTAATATAATAAAACTATATGTTAAACATACTATTACGTAGATGTTCATACCACTTAAGTCAATTTTTATCGATTCGGTTTATATTGTTTTTATTGATTTTCATTTTTTCTCGTTATTTTTTTAAATATGAGATATACATTACCAAGTACATATTCTGGCTACTACATTCCAACATAACATTATCAAACTAATTACTTTTTGAAAAAAATATTATCTATATATTGATTAAAATTAAACTAAATTTAATGATAATAAATTTAAGGACTCGATTAAAGACAAGTTATTTTTAATATGAAACAAATTCATGACTTAGCAAACTACCAACCAAACTAGAATGTAAAGGTAGATACTAGATTATTATAAAGGCAAAAAACTAAACTACCTACTAGAAGCGCAAATTATTAATATGTACCATATAATTTTACAATAAATTTTTATAGTCGCTGTGGTTCGACTTTTTCCAACTATGTTTTTCTTAAAGCTAGAATTGAATAAATTTAATCGATTTTCAAAAATATTGATTTTCTTGTTGGTTTGATTCGATTTTTTGTTTTTTATAATTACCTATACTAACGCGATATAATATATTTTTTCATAATATAAGTTTGATCTTCATCTTTTTTTGTTAGAAGATAGGAATAAATTAAACATAACAGTGTCAACCGATTATTTTAGTTCTAACTTGGTTGGTAATCTCGTGATTTTAAATTGTATATTAAGACATTTGTTTAGTATACTTCTTTAGATTAGAAAAAAAAGAAAAGAAGAGAAATTTGTAGAGAAATAAAGTAACGTTGGTATTCATAAAGAAGAATCTGCAAAATGCCACGTCTACTCTTCAATTAGATTGGGGACTGCTCTTCTTAAAATTCTTTGTCCTTCTTGAAGGCTTTTCAAGTATTTTGGGTAACCAAGGGGTGTGGTGGAGCTCTTTCATCCTTAACCAGAGGTCTCGAGTTCAAGCCGTATGTAGTCGCCTTTGTTAGGTAGCGTTTTACCCTCCAATATGAGACTTCCCAGCGCGAATCCGGATTTAGTCGGGCCCCAATGTGGATATCGGACACCGGATGGGAAATCAAAAAAAAGTATTTTGGGTAAATATCTCGTACTTAGTGCGTGTCTGGACATAAGAATGTAAAATTTCAAAAAAAGGTGAAATACTTTTTCAAGTAAAAATGGTATTTAAAATTAGAATTGTGTTTGGACATGAATATAATTTTGGGTTATTTTTTAAGTTTTGTGAGTAATATGAGTGAAAATTTTAAAAATAATTTTTTGGAGTTCTTCCAATTTTCGAAAATTTTCAAAATTCATCTTCAAGTGAAAATTGAAAATTTTATAGCCAAACACTGATTTCGAAAAAAGTGACAAAGTTTCAAAAAAAGTAAAAAAATTCTTATGTCCAAACGGGCTGTTATTGTCTTTTATTTGGAAAAAGGATCTGACCAACGGAATGCGAGGTGCAATGATTGAATATTTTAGCTTTTAATCAAAGATTTCGAGTTCAAATAATAATAAAATATTGGTATGAAATATTTTACTTCTTCTAATATTTACGTGTTCGTATTAATCAGTCAATAAATATTTAAAATTGGATTTTTCTTTTTTGTTATGGTAATGCAATACAACAGGTCGGAAAGTAAATTATTTCAAATGATGAAAATAATTTTTATTTTATGTGAAGTTTATGAAAACGGATAAGTAGACCATATTCATACTCTTTTTACCATCGAAATATAAGGTAAAATGATGTTCTAGTTATAATAATGAAGAATCTTTTTGATCGGAAGCATTTGACCTCTTTTAGTAAGGGATCTAGTAGGCTGAGAGTGAGGTCGTGAAACATAGGGACACTGACGGGTAAGTCTATAGAGTTAGGGAAGATTCTTCATAAGAGGGGGATTAATGTAGCTTGTGTTCAGGAGACTAGATGGAAGGGTACGAGGGCACAGGATGTTAACGGGTTTAAGCTATGGTATTCAGGAGGAGCAGCGGGCAAGAACGGGGTAGGTATTTTAGTTGATAGGGATCTTAGGGAGATGGTGGTGAATGTTAGGAGGGTGAACGATAGGCTAATGACTATTAAGCTAGTGGTTGGTGGGGTCACTTTTAACGTGATTAGCGCTTACGCGCCTCGGGTGGGCTTGGGCTTGGAGGTTAAAAGGCGCTTCTGGGATGATTTGGATGAAGTTGTGCGTGGTATTCCACACTCTAAGAAGCTCGTCATTGGAGGTGATTTTAATGGCCATATTGGGGTGACTGCTAGAGGTTATGACGAGGTGCATGGCGGGTTCAGTTTCGGAGATAGGAATGAGGGCGGTACCTCTTTGCCAGATTTTGTTAAAGCTTTGACCTGGTGTTAGCTAATTCGTGTTTCCAGAAGAGGGAGGAAAACTTGGTCACTTTCCGGAGTAAGGTTGCCAGGACTCAGATTGATTACCTTTTTCTTAGGAGGGGTGATAGGGGCCTGTGCACTGATTGCAAGGTTATCCCGAGTGAGTGTCCATCGACGCAACATAGACTCCTGGTAATGGACTTAGAGGTCAAGAGAGTAAGGAAGATGTTTGCTCAAAAGTTATTACAAAACTTACGAGTATAAAACAATATAAATAAATCACGGGATAATCATAGCAAATCGTAATAATCCGTTGGACCCAATGAAAGAAACGAAAATAAGTACTCAGGAACAAGGGTAGAAGCATTAGAAACCTTTATTGATAATATTTGTTTGGTCTGCCTCTCCATGGAGAGGTTCAGAACCTTACCATGGTATTTTCTCTTCCCATAAGAGGGGTATCTTTTCTTGTTTCTCTCTCCTCTCACTAGTGGTGAAGAAGCAGCCCCCTTTCTAGGGTCCCTTCTCTTGGTATTTATAGTTGTGGGCTTCATGAGCTGTCAATAAGTGGCCGTGACCACGTTGAGATCTCGCCTTTATAGTGGCGGATAGGCCAGGGCCTTTGTTGACCGAGCCAGGGGCGGGTTGAACGTCGTTAATTATTAGTGGTCGTGCCACTAATTAATCGTGAATTAACTTGAAACGGGATTAGCCTCGTTAATTATCGTGGGGTAGGATTCTGACCCATACAGTTAGTCCATCCGCTTATCGAGGTCGTGTTTCGGCCGAGCTCGATGAGCGGACTTCATCGATTGTGATTTGAAAACAACTCGAATAAGGGGGTCGACTTATTGGCGGCGGTGGCCTTAGTCGTTTACACGTTGGAGATGGTCGTAGCCTTCCGTACATTAAAGATGGCCGTAGCCTTTCATATGTTAAGGTTGGCCGTAGCCTTTCATATGTTAAGGATGGACGTAGCCTTTCATATGTTGGAGATGGCCGTAGCCTTTCATATATTGGAGGTGGCCGTAGCCTTCATATATTGAGGATGGCCGTAACCTTTCATACATTGAGGATGGCCGTAGCCTTTCATACATTGAGGATGGTCGTAGCCTTTCCTATACTGAGGATGGCCGTTGATTTCATACATTGAAGATGGTCGTAGCTTTTCATATATTGGAGATGGCCGTATCCTTTCGCATATTGGAGATGGCCGTGGGGAATGAGTATGCGCCGGGTATGTATTTGGTCAAGTCCAAAATTTTAACGGCGTACGGCTCATTCTTTCAGTGTTCGCAGGTAGTGGCGATTGTTCCGACGGTGGTATGCTGGCGGATGGCTGAGAAGCCGCTTTGCGGAGCTCGTCATAATGACGATTGCTACGACAGAATCGAACCGTTTTACGGTTGGTCGTGCAGTTAATGATGGCTATTGGGTTTCGCAAAAGCCATTTATGTTGCCTATAAAGGTGGGTTGAGGCATTTATTTCTCATATCTTCATTGTTCATCTGAGAGAGAAATTCTGAGGAAACTTTTTCGTTTCGCTAGTTCATCTTCTCTTTGCTTACCTTTGATTGTGACAACATTTGTCCTCAGCAGATCAACAATGGCAGTCGGTTGTTCCCCCGGTGCTCCTCCGGTAGATTTTCCGGTAGTTGAAGGGCCATCTCCGGCAATGGGAACAGACGGAGTCCGGCGAAATTCCGTCGGTTGACGAGGTGGTTCCTCGGCCAGGAGGTCTGGCGATTGATTTCACCGTTGATGGTGGAGAGGAACCGGTGGATGAAGCCCCGTTGATGGGGGAGATCGGGATAGCCCGATTGCGGGAACAGGGGGTCGTTCCTACCCATGCAGACATCGTTCTTGCTAGAAGCGAGGAGAGGGTTCACACCGACCGCAGGGGATACTGCGTTTTTTACGCCTACCCTTTCAGGTTGGGGTTCAAGATCCCGCTCCCAACGCTGGTGTGGATTTCTGCCGTTATTACGGGGTGTGCCCGGTTCAGCTCACTCCTTCCCTCTACAAATTGTTGGCGATGTTCATCAAGTACGCGGAATTGGCCCGTAGGGAGGTCACGCTGCAGCATGTGCTGAGTCTCTACGCTCCCCAGAGAGTCCACGGCACCATGATTCAGGCGTGCCCTCGTGGGTCGAAGGGCCTGGTCATGAGATTGGATGACGAGGTCGACCCTCGCCCTTTCGAGCCCTTCTTTTACATCAGGACCAAGCACCTGGTGGCGGATGCTACTGGGTTCCCAGAGGCTTGGAACCATGCACGTAAGTTCTTTAGTGGTTGAATTCCATTTTCTTTCTCTCTTTATGGTTTGTGATCATGGGCGTTAACTCGTGTCTTTTTTGTAGCCGACAGGTCGCCGCCGCCCCCATTGTCTTGGATACGTGAGTGGGTCGAGGCCGTACTCCCCCATACGAGGGGGATACGTACGTGGGCGTCTTTCTGGGAG